AACTTGCAAACGTGCAATTTTGACCCGCCTGAAACGTCCGATCTTAACAACCCATCAACGTTCTGCTCGCTTATTAACGTAACAACGACTATTACTGTATTAACAGCTGTCGCACCAGTGTGCCTCCACGTCGTAAACGGCAATGGTCTTCCCAGAAGTTGAGAAAAATATAATAGGAAAGTTCGAACGCGACGATAAAGGTGTTCAAGTAAAAAGTTCGCGTCGGTCGTTACTGTGTTCGTAAAGAACGGAGAAAGTGTGGCCGTAGTTGCAACGGAGTTCCTACAATTTTTTGCACTCCCGACCCGTGTAATTTTCCTCCGAAAGTCCCGGTTCCGTTCGCTGATTCCCCATCCACTTCGACGCCATCGATCCAAAAAAGGGAAACCGTGTGAAACAATACGACGATAAAAAAGCCATGGAATCTCAAACTCGATTCCGCGGGTGATTGGTTGCGGGTTGCGAGCCGAATTTCAAACCGAAACGTAGCTTGTTACGAGCGTTTGTTTAACACCTTCGCGTCTATCGTATCGATTCCAGGGTGAACTAATTTCTGACGATTGATATTGTTATAAACACGCGCGGGTTTTATTGTCGGAACATTATTTTTCTGCTTGGTGTACGATATTTTTCAAACGCGTTGCGATTGATTGGGAAAGTTTGTAAATAAATCAAATAAACCAGTACGATTGAAACAAAAATGTTTTCACAGTGAACGTCACGAAATTAGATTTTGCTGCGTTATAAATCAATAGAATAGACTGCTAATGTTTATGCGTTTAGGATGTATGTACGAAATAATATTCGACAATGTGCAAAGAAGAGAAATATATAAAATTTGAAGAATAAAATGCATGTCACATGAAAGATGAGCCATACTTTCATTTAAATTTCAAATCTTCATTTGTCTCTGTGGAAATATGAATCTGCATAAACATACAGAAGCATTACAGCGTTGGCAATACATGTCGTAAATATTACATCATTGCAATAATTTCAACTGTTTATCAACGATTCGCTGTTGTCGTTAGATTCTGCTCTGGCCAGAATAACTGCGGGCAATTAAATTGCATTAATTGCGTTGGCCTCCAAAAGCCTCTTGTTTTCGACGATTCGCGAAAATTTACGGTGTCATTTACAAGTAAAATGGAAGTGCAGGGCGTCCTTTATTTGTCCGAGTATAGATTACCCGGTAAAAAATTAAATATGGAATCTCCCCGACGTTAATGTTTAACTTAAAAGCACGAAAGTTTCGTTATGAACGTTTATATCGTTTCATGGCAAACTTCGGAACCTCATTATTTGCACGGATTACTCGGATAAGACGTGAATTTCTCATGGTGCCCTCTCGTTGCGCAAATTCCTCCTAAGAAGCTGAAGCACCAACTACATCGTTCTTCTGATAGTGCGTACTCTCAGGAATCTCGAATTATTAATACTGCGAGGGTCATAATTTTCTTCCCCATAGAAAACTTGAACACAGTGAAATCTAAGACAAATGGAAACTTGCTCAAATTACAAAAAAGAAGAAAACATTTCAGAATAAAGCTTCGCTGCTTTCAGCACCCCTAGAATGAATTACCACTCCTCCTAAAATGTACTTTTGCTTTCGTAGAGTTACAATTAGAGGCGACTATTTACTGTTCGAAATATTATTTCAATCACTTTTAGCTGAAGCCAAGCATAATACTCGTTGTTTCGTGTGACGCAGAATTTCTCAGCACATTTCAATGACGCACTCGCGATAGCCTTTTCGAGCCAGACCGTCCACTTTGTGCACTCTTAGACGGGTATGTATGCACTCCTATCCGAATGTGCGACTGTCGAGTGCTCGTTCTCTTAGTCAAAGGGCCTTGCGGATCAACGTTGGCGGCAGACTGGCGAGTTACAATTACACAAAGAACACCTCGCAAAGACACTCTCTTCGTTAGCAGGAAATTAAAATGAAATTTCGAGGTCGAACGCCGTATCTTCTTTTCATACTTCGTTGAGAAGAAAAGAAATTTCGCAGACACCCCTGTAGGGCAAAGAATAATAAAATTTTAATTTCAACGAGACTGTTACGGACGAGAGAAATATTTAATTTTTTAATGGAATTCGTGAGGAAGGATTCCATCGAAAAGTGTTGTGTCATCAAATTTTGTGTGGGAAGGATTTTTTTTTACTGTGAAAGGTAACCTCTTTTTCGGATGTACTTGAACCATTTTTTAAAATTTGCCTCTTCTGTTTCTCCGAATCGCGTGCACATTTCCAGGAATTTATGTAGACCACTAGACCGACCTCCCATTTATAATACTCGATCACTTTGGAAACTTTAAACTGTCGTATTTCGGCGTAGAACAGTCGGATTCGGTTCTAACGAAATTCAAATTGAAGAGCGGACTTTCCTCAATCTAATAAGCGTCTATCTATCAGTGATATATAATTATAAACAATGTTTTAAAAAACAAAGTTGTGAAGCTGTTCGGTATTCTAACAAAATAAATTGTGATTTCTTGCTACTTTTTTTAGTTTATGTCAGCTTTTAGGGATTCCAGTCGACTGTGCCTTTTGATCCGTCTCAAGGGGAGACTTTTACGTCAACAAGGCGCGGAAATCGGTTACCTTCTCCGCTCGATCGAGTAAACTCGGATGTAAAGCCGCTGCAAAGTGCATAGCGCTCATGGCACGGTTGACACTGCGCAGACGGCGAATAAAATTTCGACTGAATTATGCAGACGACGTTATCGCGGCGTTCCGCGCATTACCGTCTCGCTACGAATTTTACTATTTATGGAATTTATTATAAACCGATCGTCGCGCGACAATGCAATTTTCTTCCGCGGAGAATTAATAAAAATATCTCTCTCGGTGGTTTTTTGGAACGAAAAGGACTCAACAATGGACGGTAACCATTTGGAAAGGAAGTTAACGGATCTGTGGAGGCCGGTGTACACCTGGCAGGTCTGAATTATATTTTATTCGAATGTTAATCGCACTTCACACGATGAATTAACTTTCTGTGAACTTTTGAAAATGTAGCCTGGTATATAAAAAATTGTTCCAAAATTATTTCTTCTGATTTCTGAAAAGTAAATAACAATTATATCCAGTATATCCTATGTTACACTAAATGGTTTCACTCTAGGAATCCCTCAGTTCGTTAAAACTTCTGTTCGTTGAGTTATTTTAACGCACGCAGACTTGAAATAATGAAAATATCCACTATAGGGGTGAGTTTCGCGAGAATCGACGCGTTTATTCGCGTAATTTTCCTTCGGGCGTTCATTGCCCGTTTAACAGGAAGTACATGCAAAAAATGAGAGTTAAATTTGCACGAAAATTTCAGCCCCGGTGATACGATCGCGTATCCTGTTCGACGACGGTGTCGAGCGGTTTTAATTAATTCGTCGCTTCTGTGCACGATGGAATTAATTTCACGTTCAAACAGTGTTTGAAAAAATTCGTGGTCGCAGTGTTTCTATGCAGATACACCTCGATTTAAGGTATATTTCCAGAATTTCTAAATTACTGATCCCTAGGGATTTAGCAATGATCACTTTCTCGATAACAAACGCAAATTATTTTTAAATTATGGGTTCTGTACTGTACATAGTCATTTGAATAACAGTAGATCCTTCTCGATCGATATCAGTTGCCCAGAGTGTTGGCAGTAGTACGAGTCGACGACTTCTGATACGGAAAAGGAAACCTCAAATGCAATTTCAACATTTTCGTGTTATTTTGGCACATGGAATCATCTCTCAATGCTCTGACACCTGTTGCTGAACACCCTATATATACTTTTTACTATATTTACGACTATATTTAAGCGCATCTACATGGACACACTCGTGGCGTTCATGTTTTCATCGCGAGACAATTGTATCATATGATAATCAATTTATCGACGCTCTTATTTGCCTCCCTAAATTTTCTCCAGAATTTACCATTGTTTCCAAATCAATCTGCACCGAAAATGGCTCGAAATCAAACGAATGATAACCAGTCGACAGATAAACACAATACTCGCTGCATCTCTCCTTCGTATTTTGATTCGACGTATCCCATACCTCCGACAGGAACGTTTCGCGCATTTTGAATTTGCGAGGCGCGTCGAAAATCGTAACGAATCACAGGGACGATTAATCGGGCCGCTAACGACAACGAATTCGTCCGGCAGAAACATTTCGTTCTCGACGTTTAAAAAAAAATATTTCGACGATGATTTCGTGACGAATGAGACGCGTTAAATCTGCCTCGTTTGTCAGATCGAACCCGCGCGTTGTCTGGGAGCTGGAATATCGCCGGAAAGCTAGATATTCACTAACGTTCTTGCATAATTACGAAACACAAAAAGTGGAGGGCGCGTTCAACGAAGATTTAATTACGAATCGCGAGCAGGACGTAATTCAATTTGAACACACGGTATCAAAGCGAATTACTGACCGTCGCGAAATGCGTGCACGATGAGATTATTGGTCGCTGATTATATTCCCGAGTACATCAACTTTTAAAAATTGTTCGTCGACCTTGAATCCGAATTTTCGAGTTGCGGAGATTCGACACTACACGACTAGTAAACAATTATATACAATTGTTTCGTACATTATTCAATTCAGTTTCACGTAAATTATTTTTGCATTTAATTGAAAAAAATGTCTTTAAAAATAATTTGTCCCATCGTGGTAGAAATGGTTCAAAATTAAACGTTGGCAGGCTTAGTGTTGATAAAAATGGTGCCCCACGTACGATAATAAGACTCTTCGCTCCAACACAAAATTTCTACAAACTCATCGTTACTCTCGCACGTCTATACAGAAGATTGAAACCATCACCCCCAAAATTTCATGATTCATATATTTCCACTAGATCTATAGATTCCTCGCGCACGGGATCGCCGAGTCCAATGAATCAAAACCCTTCACGCTCGATTTCCTGGGCGATCCTGCTCTCGACACCATCGTCGCCATCACGATACGCCATCCCTCCTAAAGCAATATTATTCTTTGTGCTTTCAGGCATCCCCGATGCATTATCGTTGGACGTGGGGGGAGGAATCTGACGCAACGTGGAAATATTTGCCTGAATTAAGTGGCGGCCGTGAGACCCTCTAATGCCTCGCGACGATTTGAAGCAGCTCTCGATGAAGACGCGTTCCGAATCGGCTATAAATCGTTCCAGCGACGTACACCCGATAACAGACCAGCCGCAAATTCACCAGGAATATTGATAGATTCGTCGAGACTCCACGAAAGGCCGGCCGCCTCGACGAAAGCGAAGAGAATCGCGGTTTCGTCGTCGATGGCGACGTATCGTCGATATCCCGGCATCAAGTCGACATTTTTCTGCTAAATTATTGTTTGGGACATTTTGTTGGAGCGGGACAACCGTTTCGCGCACGATATTCATGGAAATTGACCGCGGCTGGCATTACCATGTAGAACGACGCGCGGTTATGTAAATTCGCTCGTATCGACGAGCTCCGAGGAACGTTCCGCGCGATTGGCCCTTATCATGGGGCAGAAACGAGGAGGCACGATCGATTAGATGCGGGATCGTCGCAGCCGAAGGGATTCAACGTGGGACCCGCGACGAAAATGCCAATCGACCGTGACGAATCGACGGTAAGCATTGGTGGAAGTTCACACTTTCTCGTGTATTCGACATTGGTAGAACGTGCTGTATGTTGTTAAGGAGATATGTACCTTGAAGCTCTCGGGGGGTATCTTGAAATACTCGAGTGGATACCTTGGTCCTGGAATCGATGAAACGTGACATCGCGTTCGTATTTAAATTTTCATTAATTTCATGAATTCTATGTGCTGTATACATATTCCTTCCACTCGTTTAATCGAATGCATTATAAAATTAGTTTTTGAAGAAACCTATCCACCTAGCCGGTCCACCGTAAGTTTCACCGGACTCGAGCGTTCCCTAAGGTTCCACGCGACGTGTTGATCGGTATCGGGTGTCAAAAACAGAATTCGCCAAGTCCCGAGTAGAAATTTGCCGAGAACGTTAAATCCGAAGAGTAACCAGAAAGTTATCGGCCGTATCGTAAACCCCATCCAAGTCGGTGTCGTCAACAGCTAGAAATTTGTGTGCCCCGAGGTACACCGAGACGTGTTTACGCGAAATAAGTTTCGACGGGATCGAGTCACGTAACTGGTACCGCTTGTAGCTTCTTTTTAGAACGGAATGACGAAGAGAAATGTTCGGTGGCTCGATAGGATCTGCCTTCGCCTTTGCACATTTTCCTCGTACCGAAGCTTCCTTTCAATTTCGCGAAGTCTGTTTTACGAGAAAGCATAGGCATAGCGCTGAAATTAATTTCGTGTACCTTTATCCATTATTCATGATTCGATTTGGAGCGTGATACTTCGAGGTTGAGCACAGGGAAAGATTTAAGGGACTTTGAAGCGATCCTGAAATGTGGAAGCTTTTGGGAGCTTTTGGGTTTACTGATTTTATCGAGCTATTTAGGGAAATTGAATAAATAATTATTCAAGACTTGCGGAGATCTAAGGATTATTGACACTGTGGTGCAAAACTCGAGGTCTTTGGGACATCTTAATAAATATAGGATTTATAGAAGTTTAGATACTATCGTTCTAAAGACATAACAAGAGCAGTGTTGGTATATTTGGAATATTGCTATTAATAATACAGCAAAAAATGATCGTGTAACCTACATGCATGCAACTGATGATTTTCTACAAAGCCCTAAATTTGCGTACGTTAATTTAAACATGGAAGTACGCCTCCCTTTGATTAAACAATTTATGCACGTACTCGGGGAGGATCGAAAGTGTTTGCACGGATTGCCAAATATAAATTCAGGTTTAAATCATACGTTCGATAGACCATTGAGCACGTAATTCAGCGAACAAGATATATTCTGTGTAAATATCAGTTGAATCGCGACTGGCCGACTTAGTACGGAAATTATAGGTCTCCCAACCTCGCTGGCGGGGAGGGTGGAACAGGTAGGGAAACTGGTGGAACGCAATCTCGGCAATTCCGCCGGCTATATCGGAGTTGAAACATTATTCTTGCATTTCGTTCGATGAAAAAAAGGCGAACCCAACGCGCTCGGTCGGCTTTTTCTCCGACTCTTCCGCGCCGACTGCGTGGAAATTCGGTTGAAATAAAATCAAGCTCGTGGCTTTGATGGCGATGAGTCCCGGAAAATTCCTCCGGGGGCGAAATGTAGTTTTGAAAAATTGTTTGAGGATAATCCTTTGTCGGGGCATCATCGTATTAGCCGAAGAAAATGAAAATTTTTGTTGAATGCGAAAAAATTACGGGGCGCTTGGTTTTAGCGTTCGAACCGCGTTTTCATCCAGGATGTGTTTGATCTCTTTTTTTTTTTTTATACATGTATGGCGCGATTAAAACCGCCGCGGTAACTAGATTTTTTATGTATTCGATTTGAATTTTATTCAAATAGAGTTGCAGTAGAGCTATCTATATAAATAAAAATGTAAAGTTTGTTCAAAATCTTAAATCTTCGAAAGTTCTTCACCTGCTTTGAAATGTTGACACAACCAATTTCTGATTCATCAATTTCAATTCATTTCTATTTTGATTTAATTATTTTAACGCATCAGAAATGTGTGCTTCTCTTCTCTTTCTTTACCATTTAACCAGACTGGAAAGACAGAGAACTTTCGAGTACAAAGGGTGGAAAATTAAATTCATCCCTTATAAAGAATTGTTCTGTTTATTGTTCTTAACCTTCGAAAATACACACTAGCTTTACAAAAATCACACAAGCTGGTATTTTTCTAAGCTTAACCATTCCTCTCCTACGAATACTCTGCAGCGTTGCAGAAAATATGCAAAACACGGACAGACACGAGGGTAAATTTCCTACCGACCGAAACGAAGGGTTGAACGGCGATTCCGAGAATTTAGTGGCGGCCAGATCGAAGTTTGCTTTCGGTATGATAGGACCGCTATCGCGGGGCCACGACAAAGAAAATGACGAAGGCGGTGGTTGTGTGCGCGTGTGGGATTCGTGGTCACGATCGAGCCTTCCGTGACTCGGCAACGTTAATTAGCGCTTTACCACCCTTAAGTTCGAGCTTCGCTGGAATCGCTGGCCGCCGCCACGGCTTTCCTCGCATAAACTTCATACGACACCTTTAACGGACCCCTGCGAATACTATCGTAACTATTCCACTCGCGATAAGGCATAAACGCGTTATTGAATATAAGCATAGGGTTGTACTATAGCTATATCTTGATATTTAATTTCTATTTTCAACATTTTCACGGATTTTTAGAGGATACAAATTTTTCAAATGCAGATTTTTCGATAATTCAAATTTTTCAGTAGATGCATAGTATTATCTACGAGTGCTAGTATTATAAAATAGCAAATACATGCAAGTACTTGTCACTTGAATGAAAATAAGTCAGTGGTTATTTGTCAACACTCGAACTGATCCAAACGAATATGGCTAAATTTATAATTGAAATCTTAATTTCGAAAGGTACTTTGTTTCACCTTCCCCATTAAATTTTTCTTTTATTCTCCCCAAGGAGATGATCGATAGGATTTAAATTTAGATTGCGAGGGCGTACGGGGCTGTTTGACGACATTATACAATAACCACTCCTTTACCCTCTTTGGGGTGTGCTTTGAATCCATTATCTTGGGGTAAGGTAATCGACCCTTCGAGGTTTCATTTTTCCGCGCCGCGTTGTAAAGTTTCTATTAAAATGTTTAGATATACATTTTAATTCGTAATGCTTTAGTGAAGTTTAAATACACATCAGTTGCATTCTCGACAACTTCAGACTAGGAAAGAAATTGTGTAGAATTTTCTTATCTTCTCCAACTGTATTCATTTATGCTTTCTTGTAACTTGTATCTGCTTTGTAAGGGATGCTCCATCTAACCATTCTGCATTTCAATGGCTTTCTGGCTTTCATTTGCTCTAGAAGGTGTACCATGTTTACTGGTCCTTAGATTTAGAAGATATAGCAAAATCTGAGCTCAGGATTTAGGTCTCTGGTTTATATCTCAGGAGTAGTTAAACAGAAAATCGTGATTTTTATTGCTACTAGATTTTTTTAAAAATTTGGACAAGTATACAGAAAAATAGGAAGTGTAATATTTACCACCTGAACATAGACAGTGACTGAGAAATTTAGCTTGATCTAAATCGCAAAACCCCTCAGTTATCCGCCAATATCCTGCTATCGCCATCCACGAAAGGGTTGATTAACGGCTGGCCAAGAAATAATAATCGACGGGTTCGTAACCATAGATCCGCGATGGATCGTGTTTCTGAAAGTATATCTCGTTCCAGCTAAGCGTCTAACAACCAATCTCTCGAGGAGCCTCGCGTACAGTCCCTTAAAAGCCTCTCAAGTTTGTTTACCATATATAACATATTGCGAAGCTAACTAAAACCCGTTGCCGGCTCAATTCTCCAAAGAGCACGCCCACCAGCCGCAGATACATTAAGAGCTAAGTGCTCTCCCAAGCCAGACGCGGGATCGCTTCTCCATAGGACTCGATGTATCGAGCGTTCGTACGTGCCTTAGGCGTCGGAGGAAGCGTTTTCAAAAATTACTTCCCGTTTAAGAGGGTCCTCACGTCCGCGCGAAATCGTGGTAAGAAAAACGAACACGGTGGAACAGCGGCCAGTTAAAGTTCTTCGGTTCATTTCAGAAGCTCATAAACTGTTCTTTATAGCCGCTGGGACCTGCGAGAGCAGTGCTCTAAAGTATAGCTCAGCCCACTTGGGGACATTTTTTTTTTCTTCTTGAAGTATTCGAGCCGTTGGGGGTGGATAATATTTCGTGGATGTTACTTGAATGTCGAATTACTCGCTAGGAGAATGTTATTTAAATAGTTAGTGAATAGAACAGGCTTGAAATATTTTACTCTGTTTTATCGTTAAAAGTAGACGTCAAATTTTCTCATTACATGCTTAGCTCGTTACGTTCCCGTGGAAAAATCACGGAGACTAATTTGCGAGGATGTAGGGTACTCGTAAAACTTGACTGAGTGTCGTTGTTTCGTGACAAACTGTAGTTCACTCTGAAGGTGGCTGCACGTTGATTGACTTTCTCATGTTGGAGAGTGTGTTTACGTAGACTCTGTGTGAGTGGAACGGTCTCATTGCAGTTTTAGTAACAAATTGTGGGATACGCGAATGGAAAGCTCGATGGAATTTGATATTGTCCACATTCTTACTGTTTAAGCATTAGGTTGTAAGATTCGTGTAGAGACAGAGTGGAGCTTGATTTCATTTAATAAATTCGTAAACAGCTAGGTAAACCTTGTACCATATTATCATTCGAAAATCATATATAACCACTCCCATAAGCTACCCAGTTATTATTTGCTTTCGCGCACTCCTCCTTCATCAGAACAGGGTAAAGACAACCCCACGTCAACAAATAAGGTAACTTCGTCCAAGAATGATTAGCCCACGTCGCGTCCGTCAAGCGTTACACTGCAAACGCATCGTGTACCACGGCTGCATATTGCAAAACTCATTTCAAATTCATTCCGAATACGAGCAAATATCAAACGAGCTTTTAGTTTGAGTTACTGCGAACTAACGGGCGAGCAAGAACATCTCAAGCGAGCTTCAGCTGTTAG